ACCACCAAATGGATGGGTGTTATTGTATCTTAAAATGAAAGTAGTTGGAGTGACTGGTTTAGCAGTTATGAAAGAAAGCAAGAAAAACTCTAAGGATCTCAAAATCGTTGTGCATAGCTAAGTTTGGCATTATAAAGTAGACACGTTTTGAGCATAGTAGGAAGTGAAACTTATTTGAAACGGTGTTCACTGAATATCACGGTACAAGAAGAGGGTCGAAAACTGTGGTGAGCGAGATTCTTACTCAACTCTTTCTGACAGTACTACATGGTTGATTCACTGGTATTTTGTGTGGGTCAGAAGGTTCAGATCGCGGTGACGCGCCACGACGGAATTGTAGGGTTTGTGCGGGTGGCGGTCTTGATATCAGTCGTCAATTCAGGCTAAAAGGGTAAGTCAGTTATACCGGTCTTATTAAGAAGGTGTGAACTCAGCAACATTTCGTTCAAGGTTTTGAAGAAATGATTATGAATTACGAAATTCTTGGATACAACGCTAGGAGATTTTTCTGAAAACTCCTACCTTTTCACATTGTAGGTGGTGGTGATTTCCTGAGTGGATTCATAAATGTCGTCAAGGATCTTGGCAATACGAACAAAGATGGTGAGTACCTTAAAAAATCCTTTGAAACTTGCTATGTGTAGTACAGAATTTTAACACTTGAAAGGCACAGCACAGCCTGATTTGCACATGAGCCAGGAGGATATCGCAAGGATCACGGCCGGTTTAGACTCACTTGGTAGGTAATCATCTTCATCTTCTATCTTCTATCCCTTGAGGGTATTATCAGACCGTCGTCGATCCACGCCCTCAAAATCCGAAGTAAGCAAACCAGCCCTTTTGGCGTTTCTGCTGGGGCCGTATGCTGAATGTTGGGGAGGGGATGGGGTCCGACGGTCGACGGACTACTTCAACTCGGTCCTTAAAACCGCCTCAATTTGATGCTTACCTCAGGACTAAGCCTTAAAGGAATCTTCCACGGAAAAAGCTCCGCCTCCATTACCACAGAAAAACGATACCTTAGGCCCCTAGCCTCATGAGCATAGCAAAAAGTGGACCTTGGGGACCTCATCCCCTCCCCAATATTCAGCATACGGTCCCAGCAGAAACGCCAGAAGAGCCGGTTTGCTTACCTCTCAAGCTCCACCCCCTCTTTCTGTTACAGTACTTCGGAATTGAAGTTAAACGATTTCACTCCCTTGGGGTACCAGTCCACCATTTTTTTCTCTTCATCTTGTGGGGTACAGTGAAGTTCAAAGCATTCTGCACCTATCTATCCACTCTTGGGATGCGCCATACACCCGACCTCGTTCAGAATGCTGTAATCGTTGAATGCGAACTGTCGTATACGATGGCTTACGGAATTCCACCAGTGTACAAGATATTGTTTTCGTTCCACCACATAAACCTGGTACCACGGAGGTCTGGTTCGGTTGGTGTGGGGAGGAATCGGTCCAACTTTGACCCTGAGTCATGTGCAGTTAATCTGTAGTTATTGTATGAATAACTATTTTAGCTTCAACTCTCTATGAGAAGGTGTGTGGAAACTCTGTCAACGGAGAATCAGGTAGGTCGTTCCACTTTTCCAGGAACCGATACTTCAAATTCGCAGCGCTGTTTCAGTTTCGAAGTCGAACTCACAGGGCGAAAAAGTCCAGGTGTCATCTGTGGTAGGAGAAGACGGCCACCGCAACTGCGGGGCACCCTCTTTCATCAGGTAATTTATGTCCACTTACTTTCAGACGTCAACATGATCAAGAGCAAAACCCGTAAATAGTCGCTGTATAACAGGGGTCTACCAACCTTGTGCTCAATACCATAAATTTGGCACTACTGGTTCAAAACTGGTAAAACGAGAAGCGATAAAAGCCATTGAAGTTCACGAGATCAAGACTTTATAGCGTATGCCGAGATCACTCGAAAAGCTCAGGTATCCCCCA